AAGCTGACAAAAATTTGGCTTTCTCAATTTTAACCAAAGCGGATTCATGATTTTTTTAACAAGAGGTGAGCAATAAATTGTTACCAAGGAACAAAACGTTACGCCATACCGTAAAAAATGTTAAGAATACTTTAAAAAATTTATGGAAGTCCGTCGGTTTAAAAACGCAAAAAAATCCAAACCCTTGGATAAAAAATGTAACTTTTTTATGTTTTCACACAATCAAATTTTATAATATTCACGTTTTCTGGATTCTTTCCAGAACTTTATTCGCCACAAATTGTTATCTTTTTGTGAAAGTTTTAAGGGGCAAAATGTTTCGCATCAAGGGGGAAAAAATTAAGGGGCAATAAAAAAAGATCCACGGCCCCATTAATTCAATTCATCCAAAAAGCTTTCCACATTTTATCGAGACCTTTTGTTTTATGAAATGTCAAATAGGACCAATTTTTCGAATAATAATATTTTTTTTCGCAACAAACGAATCTGGAATATTTCCCGTTATCCGGGAAAAAATGGGAGATTTCGAAAACGCCAGGGGGGGGGGGAACATATTAACCCCTTTGGCCCCATAGGGGGGAAACACTAAAATGGGTTTTGGGGTTTTCCGTTGAAATTTAAAAATCGATTCATTCCGATTCAAAAACATTGAGTTCATTTTATGTCGCCAAAGGGAAAAAACATTTCCCCAATTCGAAACCCTTAAAAAAAACTCAAAAAATTCCAATATTTCCTAAAATTTTCAAGAATGCATCATGGGCTTGGGAATAATTTTTGGTCAATCTTAAAAGTTAAAACATTTCCAAAAATTTCAATGAAAATTATTGATGGAATTCAAAAATTATTTATTTTTGGATTCCCCCCCGACATAAATTCTTTAACGAAAGGGTGGAATACATCCAAATCAAAAAGGGGTGGATTTCGCCCCATTCATATAAAGTTTATATGTTTTTTTTATTTATTTTACCCGAATATGATATAAATTTCCGGTGACGATGGGGCCAAAATAGGGAAATGCTGTTGCTTTTCCGGTTTTAAACATTCCATCTTAACAGTGAAATTTGTTTTGTGAAATAAAAATTTTCGCCGATTGGCGGGTTCGATTAAATTCTCAAAATATTTTGGTATTTTTTTTGCTTTTTTTTTTCAAAACGGCCCATCTAAATCTTTCAAATTTATAAAAACCGGAATATTCCCTAAAAATTTCTATTTTAATGACGGAAATTTAAAAGACGGATAATTGTCTCCGTAAATGTTTTGCGTTTTGCTCAGCTATAAAAATTTTGCTTTCTCTTTTTTCGTAAACTTAAGGCGGCCTCTTTAAGGGATGATGGGGAAAATTCCGCGGCATTATAAAATTTCTTTCCCCTTTTTTTCCCTATAAGGAAATGTTGACGCCGATATTTTAATTCTAAGTTTGACGGTGGCAATGTTCCAGTGTCATTGATTTGGGGGGCGGTGTTTGGGATTAAAGGGGAAGGATGGCCCTAGATGGTGGCGATGATGCCTTTTCCTTTCGCCTTTTGCTACGACCCTTCTGTTTCAGCGGGTCTTTGGCAATAAAATCTGTGATTCAATTTTGGATAATTTTGATCCACGGTTTTTTTTTATTCTGAGGGGAAAGGTGTTTGGTTAGGGGGGAAAACCTTTGACGGAATGAACATTGCCATATTTTCATCGGTAAGTTTCTTAAACAGGTCAGTGCGGAAAGGGGTAAATACTTGTTAATTTATGTCCATTAACTTCTCATTTTCAATATTTTGGTTTTAAATCAATAGCATTTACTTCTAATATCTTATTGCCACTTTTTTTTCTGATAATATACGTATATGTACTTGTATGAATGGTATTTTTCATAGTATTCCATTTGGCATTCATTTTCTTAGAAAAGAAGAACGGTGTATTTTCTGATTGCTTCCAAAAGCAATATTACTTCAAGATTGTCACATAGCGTAACTATTACTTATTTCTGAACGAACAATAATAAAAAGAAAATAATGCATCGTTGTATTCTTCGTAAAGCCTCTCGACGCTTTACTTTAGTTGGTATGGCATCAGCCTCTTTACAATTAAAGATGTCGTCACTTATCGATCGAGGTGTTCTGCATAGCTCTCTTATGAAGCCTCAGCAAAATTACCGTTTTTACTCAGGTGGTGGACACGATGAGCAACCCACACGTAGTGGGCAATACTTACTTGATAAAAACGACGTTCTTACACGTGTGCTAGAAGTCGTGAAAAATTTCGAAAAAGTTGATGCGTCAAAGGTAACTCCTGAGTCACACTTTGTGAATGATCTTGGACTTAACTCACTGGACGTAGTTGAGGTTGTATTTGCCATTGAGCAAGAATTTATCTTGGATATTCCTGACCATGACGCTGAAAAAATACAGTCTGTTCCTGATGCTGTTGAGTACATCTCACAAAATCCCATGGCAAAGTAAAATGTAGGGTATAAAACTTTATAGTTTTTTTTTAATGCAGAGATTTTCCTAAAACTATTAAGAAGTAATTTATAAAAATAGATGACCACTTTATCTAAATTTTTAGCTGATAGTATCACGGTAAGAAATATCAGGAAAGGGATGATATTAGTTTTATGATTAGTTCTAATTTACACAATATATGTATACGATAAATTTTAACACATACACTGGAAAATATTATATTTGAGTAGTCAATATCTTATTATCCTTTCTTCATCTTTTTTTTCATTCTTTTTTTTTAGACCTATTTCTTATATATAAAAGGAGTTATACACTAGGTTTATTAAAGGATAAATACTATATTTCGATACTTTAAGCCATTTTATATGGTACATTTTCTATTAATTGGTGTAAAGTTGTTTAGCTGTTTAAAAGCAACAATGAATTGGATTTTTCTATTCTTTCTCTTATTGTGAAGATCACCAAATATCAGATGCTGATTATTAGCATGCATTTTTTATTAATATTTTATGAAAAGACGTCAAACCTTTCCTGATTATTGCACTTTTTTTTGAAAGGCAAACATTATTGCGGATGTTTACAGTAGAGAGCCAACGATTTCTCTTGTGAAAAAGGGCTTCTGACATAAAACGATGATGAAACATTTTAGTCGATGTTCTTAGTTCTATTGAACTCGAAAGCAACACTATGAGGAGTAGAACTGACTGCAAAAAATAATAAAAAAGACTCATTTTCAGCAAAATATCTGAGATCAATGTTTATGGAAGTACTTTCTTACCATTTATACTTCTGATCAAAGATCGATCTTGTATTATTCCAATAAAATCACTGATGTCAAAGGAATCTTGAGTTATTTTAGATAAAATCCAAAAGGATTGAAATAGGTGAGTATGAGTCCCATCAGCTGTTTATTTGGTATTAACAGAATCATTCAACAATTTTTGGTGATACTACACAAATTCGATAAGAAAGATAGAATTTAATATTTCCTAACCTGAGATTCCAAGGAAAGTCATTAAAACACGTGATTTGACAAAACTGATGTCGCTTTGAATCATATGCCAAAGAATTGTAACGAAAGAAAAAGTGAGCTTTGTCCAAGCATTAACACTTTATGGGCATGTGGAAAGAAATGTATCTGAAAGTAACAGTGATTAATCATTATATCGAAAACAATACTTTGGAAACACTTTCCCTTCTTGTGAGTTCTTAGAAGTACCTACCAGGTCAAATTTATTGGTTATAGCTGATACAGAAAGGTATAGAAATTGATGTAGTTATTATATTTGTTTCGTTATACGAAATCAAACAATATATTACTAGAGTCAATCAAATTTTTATACCTAGGAGAACATATAGGAAACGCACATGTCATTTATCTTAATAAAGATCATTGAAGAACGTATGAAATTGAGGGGGAAATATCTATACAAACTCAATTAACAGCCGTATTGGAGCTTATAAAGACTCCCTGATTTGACAAGTCAATGTTTTATGTTTAAGAAATAAGAAGGTACCATGAATTGTATAACACTTAAAATACTACTATTATTGATGTTGTTGTTCACATTCTCGTGATTTACATCTTTTCCTTTTACTGTAAAAATTTTCCATTGTATTAAAAAATATTTATATTTATTACTATGCTTTCTGTTTATCTAAGATTTATGCAAAATGCTATTTACAAAATTCTTTTTATTTACACAATTTCTTCATTATTCTATAAAAAAAAATGGAATATCAACTTTACTTAATATATTTCTTTAACTTAAATGTGAATTTTGTTACTTAAATTTTGCTGAGATGTTTTTTAATGATTAATTGCATTTCTTTCAAGAATTCCAAGTCACCATGTCAAAACGATAAAATAGACATTGTTAATAAAATATATATTTATATGTAAGAAATGAATCCTATATATCCAATGAGAGACAGTGTCATATATACCTAATTCATATCATTCGGCTTAGAATACTGAAAGTCTAATAAGCACTTTTATTATTATTGTCATGGTTAATTAGTCTTATATTTCTGGCGTTTATTTATCAATTTCGTAGCAATTGAATCTAACCCAACTCCAACTCAAAAGCACTTTAATCTTCCATAGATGTCATTGTTGAATTATATAGATGCACTTTCAAGCTAAATGTAATTAAACAATTTTCCATTTATATCAAGCGTACGGTTCAGTACATGGTATGCTTTTATATTAACTTTACTTATTTCTCCAAGTTTGCGACATCTACTGTGTTGTGCAGATATGAACTTGATTTTTTTTTAGTGCTTCCTCAGTAACTACTTGTGCCCTTTCTGTTTTCTAGCCACATTTTACCACTATAATCTTACCCTTTCTATCCTTTTTTTTTTAATTAATTAAGTGTCTACAGGTCTTATGCCAAAGGAATATATCTGACTGTGAACCAATCAATAAAAAAGTAATTAACTTACTTTAGCATTGACCAACTTAGCTTATTTTATAATAGGGTAATTTTATATTATTTCTTCCTATAAGCCTAGTTTATTCTTTTTATTTTTTAGGGGAAAAGAACGTATAAGTTTTTGTGTGAGTTTAGTTGTTCAAGTATAACAACTAATTTTATGGTATTAGTTTATAGCTCAATAGACATAGATGCCATACCATTTGCGAAAAATTTGCTTATTGGTCAACTGTCAGAAACTCTTTGTGACGGAAATAAAACCATATTAAACTACATAATTTTTGATAGTGTTCCAATCAAAAGCTATGAAGTTATTGTTGAGCAAATTGAATGTCTTGAAAAAGTACTCCCGCCTGGGCTAGTTGTTTTGGGAGTTGCTTCTAGTAAGGCATATAGTAGTAGCACAATTACGAGTTGTCTTTCTATTTTATTAGAAAGTTTCCGTTACTCTGATTTTGTTTACATTCAGCTTGGTCATGATGAACCCCGCGTGACATTCTGTAGCGATCCAGGCTTACACGCAACTTTTAGCAATCAAGGTGCAATATTTTGCACTATATCATGCATCATTCATTTTTCGTTGCCATCATTTCCCTTTTTACTTACGAGAAGCGGCGATAAGGCTGAGAAAATTCTGATCGACCCTCAAAGTACTAAGTGTATTTTACCGCAGGTGAATTTTGGGGAAAGTTATTCACTTTTTCAGTTGGGAGGGAGCTCTTTTTTCTCAGAGGAGACGATGTTAGTGTTACCGTTTTTTTCAAGCCTTCCGCACCTATCTGGCAAGTCTTTTTACAATTGTATCGCTCGTTGGATGAAGAAGATTACAAAAACTACAGACATCATCTCTGTTTTTTCACGACGTAACCCAAACCTTGTTTATGCTTGTCAATTGAATCGAGGTGTGCCGTGCTCAGACACTTTCACTCAGGTAATATTGCATGAATTGCGAGAGCTTTTGGAGGACGCAACAGGCGAATCCATTGAGAGTAATCAGCTCACAGAGCCTACGATGCCACAAAGTCTGACACCTGAGGAGGGAGAAATAACACCCAAAAATAAAGAATCTCACTCATTTATGCTCATCTTTGCTACCGGAATTGTTATTATGGCAATTGTGATCACTATATTAATGTCTTTGTGATCTGTAAAAAAAACTCTAAGGAACACGAAAAGGCTGAATGACCGAGAGGAAAAACCGAGTAAAGGGAGAAGAGGGTACTATGCCATAGCATCACAACTTTATTTTTAATATGCCTTCTGCTGTTGCTTTTATTTCATGTCTACTCCTTTATTAATAAAGTGTATAAATTTTGTCTTTATTTCTTCTTTAATGTGTTATATATCCTAATCTCAAATAGAATCTACATGCGTTTCTGTTGTCATTACTAATCATTACAATGGGGATTCTTGGACTTTCAAAGCTGCTCTATGAGAAAGCGCCCGGAGCTTTCAAAGAGCAAGAGCTGAAAAATTATTTTGGACGATACATAGCGATCGATGCCTCCATGAGTATCTATCAATTTATTATTGCTATGAAGGGATTTCAGGATGGGCAGGGAATAGAATTAACAAATGAAAATGGTGAGGTTACTTCTCATTTGAATGGATTGTTTTACAGGACTTTGCGTATGGTCGATGAAGGACTTAAACCAATTTATGTTTTCGATGGGGCACCACCTAAGCTAAAGGAATCCGAGTTGGAATCGCGCCGCGAAAAGGCGAACACGGCTGAAAAGGAATTCGAACGTGCCAAAGAAGAAGGGGATGATGCACTAATGGAAAAAATGAGTAAGCGCACCGTGCGTGTGACATCAAACCAAATCAATGATTGCAAAAAATTACTGGAGCTTATGGGCATCCCAGTTGTGCAGGCTCCATCCGAGTCGGAAGCGCAGTGTGCCGAGCTTGTCCGTAAAGGGAAAGCTTGGGCTGTGGGAACTGAGGATATGGACGCATTGACATTCGGTTCCAACATCATGCTTCGCCACCTTAATTATAGCGATACGAAGAAACGCCCCATCGCTGAAATACACCTTAATCAAGTTTTGCACCAAACAGGTCTATCAATGGATCAATTTATTGACCTGTGCATTCTTCTAGGCTGTGATTATGTGCCCAAAATTCACGGTATCGGCCCTCAAAAAGCATGGGAGGGTATCCAAAAGTACGGCAGTATCGAAGGGCTCTTGGAAAATTTGGATGTTAGCAAATATCATGTACCCTCTGGTTTCGTCTTTAAGGAAGCGCGGGATTTCTTCAAACATCCCGATGTTACTCCTGGAGAAGAGGTATCAATTCAGTTCAAGGAGCCAGATGAGGAAGCTTTGACCCATTTCCTTGTGAATGAAAAGTTATTTAACCTTGAACGAGTCACAAAAGGCATATCCCGACTTAAGGAGTCGCTGAAAAAAAAAACACAAGGAAGGCTTGACAATTTTTTTACCATCAAACCCATTCTAAAGACGGATACGAGCCAATCATTGGCCGGTTCCAAACGTGTGCGGAATGAAGAAAACGGTAAACCCTTCCAGCTTTCCGGTACACTTAGAAAAGCAAGCTTAGGGCATAAAAAGTCAGTGAAAAGGATGAAACCCAACTAGTAATAATACCACAATTTTATCGTTTCAGACGACTTACTACCCCTCACTAAATAGAAACAAGTCTGAAACAGAAGCAATTTAACAACATGGCACTAAAGATATGAAAGTAGATTGACATCCTCCTTTGACCATCATTTTTTGTCTGATAAATTAACATCTTTTTTTTCTTTTAATAATTTAAAGAAAAGTGAAATAGAAACCATGTCGTCTGGAGCGTTGGGGCGAGGTTCGTATCGTTCCGTTGTAGCTGGAACTCGCCCAAACAACCTACCAACATATTATCCATGCGTTCTAGAACTTATTGAGCTACACAAGGCTCATCAGGAAGTCCTGCGCTTATTTTATGTGAGAGACCGAATTTTTGATAATAAGTTTCCTGGATGTTCACTGGCTAACGGACTTTATAAGCTCGTTCCGAACAAACGCGAAAGCTTTCATTCAAAAGAAATAATGGAGTCTATTCGACGACGGACCATTTGGATGCAGCGAATACGTCAACAACGGGCGTTGAATGCCAACATTTTGGACCGCGCATCCAAGACACTTTCTTCTGACGAGATGAAGGCGCGCTTTTCTTATAAAACTGCCGACGCCGACGCTTATTTCAACCCTCTGAACTACACGGGAGCCAACAATTGGCCAAACTACTGGCAGCACCCCACCATGGCGCACGTCATACCCAAACCGAGATGGGCACGCGTCCCCGAGTTGGGCGGGATCACCCGCGTGCAGGATTCCATTTCAGTCCCTTCAGTGGACTACTAATACCGCTCTAAAAGGGGCTTACGAAATGCCGTAATAGGAATATTCAAAGGGCTAAAACCCCATAAATACATACAAAAAAAAGAAAGCTCTTCACCACACTATTTTAATTGGAAAACAATGCTCGGTGTGACACCCCAAACTAATTTCGAATTCCTTTGTTCCTCTAAAATCCTTTTAGTTCCGACCCTATGATTAATGAAGCCGGTGGATATAGAAAAGTTCTGTGCATACTGTGCGAAGGTTGGTATAGTGAGTAAGAAGCTATCTTTTCGCCCGTCATCGCTACCTTGGGGTCCGATTTCCGTCTTTGTTGACGAGCCCGTAGTCTATGGCAGCCCCATTGTGGTGGTGCCCTACCAAACTGTTTTGAATTGTCAAACAATGCGGGGCAATCGCGTTCCTCACAGCCTCCCCACCTTCTACAAAATGTTCCAGTTTTTGACTAGGCGAGGTCGGATGGATTCCACAACCGCACAGAGCTTATGGCTTGCATCTTTTTTAGCGACCTATCATCAAAACAAGTCTCCTTCGAACTCTTTGGCGCCATGGCTTTCCTTTGGCCTTCAAACGGACTTATCCTTCTTCTTTACACCTGAGCATGCCGCGTTTTGTCCGTTCCTTAAGGAGGCCCGGAACGATGAATCACTCCGTGATTTAGAGCGTTTAGCCACCTTTCATGTCCGCCTTGCACACACCATGATTCAATTTCACGGACGACGTAAAGGGATCCCTTCCGCAAGTCAACCAACCTTTGATCAGCTTAATTTGGCCTACAGAACTGTGATTAAACGCGCTTTACCCCTTCCGGTGAATTGTGAGCCCTCAGCCCCGGCGGAGCTGGCAGAGCTGATGGAAGCCACTCCTGATATGCCAATATTACCCTCCCTCATCCCGGTGGTGGATTTAATCCGACCGGCGGTGAGTGTAGGGAACGATAGTGCTTCCATGGAGGCTAATTGTGCAATCTTCACGTGTGTGGAATCCGATTTCGAATCCCCCGCGACGCGACGTCTGATTATCTTTGAAACCACACCTTTTTCATCACGAAAAGTAGCCGTCATTGCCACTAAAAACTTAAAGAAAAATGATGAAGTCCTTCTGGGGATTGAGTAGAGGTCGCTTGTATCCGAAAACCCAATTTCACCGATACATACACTCACACATATATTTATATGATGCAATAAGACCAATCACAAGCGCTTAGTTTCATTTTCATTTATTACCGACTTTGTTATGCTTCTTTTTTTCTGACACTTGTTTTGCCCTTGCGTTTTTCTTTATTTTCCTTTTGTATTATTATTAGTGTAAGAATTCATAATTCAATCTGTATATCACTTTTCAACATTTTCCATTATGAAGGGAATATTTTCTTGTAAAGATAAAAATTATAAAAGCTGCGATGCGGCGCGATCGGCCTTTAAAAATAGGGACATTGAAGCATCACGCTCTGAGCACAATAAGCCAATGAATATTGAGAGCCACAACTCCTCCACATCCGAATACATTAAATCGATTGTATTTGGGGGTCTGGATGGGATTATGACTTGTTTTGCTGTAATTTCGGCCGCGGCGGGCAGTAACGGAAATTACACAACTGTTTTGATTTTTGGGTTTTCTAACGTGATCGCGGATGGCTTCACTATGGGCTTCGGTGAATACATATCCGGAGCTGCCGAGCGAGAAAATGCCATGGCTGAACGGATGCGAGAGGAATGGGAGGTTGAAAATGCATTTGATATGGAGGTTGATGAAATGATTCAGATATATATGGATAAAGGGTTGTCCTTCGAAGATGCCAGTACAATTGTTTCTATCATTTCCAAGGATCACAAAGTATTTGTCGACTTTATGATGGTCGAAGAGCTTGGGCTGCTTCTGGATATCGATGATCCTCACGGTCCAAAAAAACAAGGCACCGTAATGGCCATTTCGTTCATCTGCTTCGGTTTGGTTCCTTTGTTTGCGTATTTGTTCGGAAAGGGCCAGGGAATGGACCGATTTTTTGTATTCTCCGCTTTATTAACAATGTTTTCCTTGATTCTTCTTGGAATTTTAAAAGGTTACTTGGTTGGCATCAGTATGTTTAAATCTGCGTTTCTCATGGTTTTAAACGGTCTCGCAAGTGGCGTTATCAGTTTTACGATAGGTTATTTGATTGAGGCGGGATTACGACGTGAAGTGAGTGTGTAGTAATAATTAATTATGTTTCATAGTATGCTCCCTTGGATATTATAACTCCTGAGGAAAGGTGAATGGGAAATTGTAATTGGTATTAAATTGAATTGTTTCTTTCATTCACATACCTATCTTTTATATATTTTTTCGATGTTCTATAATAACATATTTTAGTGATGCTTCAGTAACTTATGATATCGAACTTAAAAATTAACATTTTTTTTATCAGACTTAATAAATTCCTTACGAACAATTTTTATTCAAAGACTTTTGTTCAATGTTCCTCAGATCAAGTGAGTGATCAAACTTCGAAGCAAATATTTATTTGCAACCAGGGCAGCGTTCTGGGAGGATCGTAAATTCAGGAAAAAAATAGGCAAAGGTGAATAATTTTAGAACCTTATTTTCATCAATACATTTATAACGCAAGTTATCTACGGAAAAATGGTTCATTTGAATTCTGACGCACATTTACGTGTTTAATGAAAATATTTATTATATTCCCATTCAATGTTTCTGTTTTAACCACAAATTCTGTAGCACTATGATTCTTCGCAAAAGTAATTTAAATGCGGTTCTGCCAGCTACGGTTATTCGTTAAATTGGATGGGACACTATGATAGTAATCTTTTAGAAATTTATTTTTCATATATAATTACGGGTTGACTTTAATAATAAACGAAAGCATAGTTTTTTTCAATTGTATTGGACTGAGTGAATGGTTGTTTAAACTCTATTCAAGTTGTTTCTCTGATCAAGCTTAAGATCACACACTTTGTACTTATTCCGTTGATTATTCAGATCTAAAAACAGTTTTTAATTTTATCACTATTGCTCTACTTTTGTGTGGATTTTCGTATTTTTGCGAACACTCAAAAATGATTCATAAATAAATAGATTACCACATGGATAATACGAAGCAGAGGAGAGTTTTAGGTGCGGTGCGAAGCCTATCTGAAGCAGTTTCTAATACCCCCAACGCCGCAGAATTAAAAAGCATTTTACGGAAAACAGAGTCAAAGCTGTCTGAGGACCTTTCCCTGAATGATTTAGAGCAGTTCCTCAGTATCTTTACGAATCACAATAGTAATTATACGAACGTCGAGACGGATGAATTTCACACGCTAGCGGATGAAGTTCTCAACAATTCTATCCGATCGTTATTAGTGTATGCCGATTTTTCAAGTTTCTTCGGGGATGCCGAGATTCTTTCCCTTTCAATGGCCTTACAGTACAACCTTTCGATTGAGGCCATCACGCTGAATGGCATTGACGTCAGTGATGACGCCATCTCCGCGATGTGTGAGGCGCTTCTGCTGTCTCGCGTTAGTTATATTAATCTTTCTAATACCCCCCTATTGGACGAGGCGGGCAGTTCGATAGCGGCCTTAGCGCATATTAACCCTTATTTACGGACCGTCATTGTTGAGGATACCCTCATCTCTGACGACGTTCTGGACGAAATTGACGTCGCCTGTCAGTTTAACCAAAGCAACTTAGAGGCAAATCACGGCATGATTGATGAAAGTTTAATACCATCCGCCGATTTGGGCCGACTAAAGCAGCGGCTAAAGCAAATTATTCGCGCTCATCAAAATCGCGCGCACTTTTGCGTGGCACATTTGTTCGGCTGCTGCCCCAATGGGGAGCTTTGTTTTTACTCCCACGCCTTGAACACCGGCGGGGTGGATAACGACGCCAAGGTTCGTTTATCTGAAAAGATAACCGGGCTTTTCACAAGCGATGAGAATTGGGAGGACAAACTACCACCACAGCCGCAGGCGGGCGCTTCATGGCGTCTTCCTGAAGAGGCCAAGGATTCCCGCCCAAAGTTGAATTTAGATCGACGGAGAGAGTTTAAAAGACATGAAAAGCAGAGCAGGGTGGCGCAAAAGGGATTCATATCCTATATGAACCTGCGATTTGGCAAAACTTTTTCATTAACCTTATCCGCCATAACAGTTTCGTGCCTGCTGGCGTTTTTTTTGAGTCAGCGCAAGCGATGGGCCTTCTGGTAAATGAGCTCATATGCGCATTACTTAAACAGAAGTTACCCAAAGTAAATTAAATAGAATCCCCTGCGAATTTTTCCAATTTAAGATTTTCCTTTTAGCGATTCTGTCTTTTTTTATCAGTGTATTCTCAGATATTGGGATCTGTATCCGTATGTATGTGATATGTATCGGTTTATACGTTACGATCGATTTCCCAGTTGAAGCCTATGGAAGAGATTTTTTTTCTCTCTCCCCCTTTTCTGATCTAACTTTTTTTTATATATTCACATAACGAAGCGAAAAATAAAATATACTTATTTACCGAAAAAAGAAAAGAAATTTAACCAACAATCTAACAGGGAAATAGCCACTAAACGAGGAAATGTCTGGATCCGGTAGTGGCCACGATCAGTCGACTGATATATTTTCAGCCGAGGGCCGCGTCTTTCAGGTGGAATATGCCTGCAAAGCGGTGGATAACGGCAGCACGGCGGTGGCGGCATGTTGTACGGATGGAGTGGTGCTCGCGGTAGAAAAAATTCACTCTAGCCGCATGCTTGAGAAAGGATCGAATAACCGCATCCACACGATTGATCGTCATTGTGGTGTGTGTATCTGCGGAATGCTTCCAGACGGCCGAGCGATTATCTCCCGCGCGCGCGAGGAGGCCGAAAACAGCCGTCAGGTCTTTGATTCCCCTATTTTGGGATCGGTACTGGCTAAACACATTGGTAGTTTTATGCATGCCTACACCACCCATTACTACTATCGTCCGTTCGGGTGTTCGGCGATTATCGCGTCGTACACGGACGACGGGCCGCAGTTATACGTGAGCGATCCAAGCGGTACGGTTGCTGGGTACTACGGGATTGCACTCGGCAAAGCCAAAACAATCGCCAAGACCGAGCTCGAAAAGCTGAATTATTCAACCTTAACCTGCCAGGAGGCGGTTGAGAAGCTCACAAAAATTCTTCACGATGTGCATGATGCCCAAAACGATAAGGTATACGAAATAGAGGTGGCATGGGTATGTGATAAGTCAAATCGCAAATTTGAGCACGTATCTTCGGATTTGATTCCACAGCTGCCTGGGCAGTAAATTCTTTCCATTTGAAACATTATGCATATTTATATATAATAACTACTTTTGGGTTTTCTTTTTTTTTTCAGTGCTCGCTTATATTCATAAAAAAGGGGTAGGTGTGGAATATGGACCAGCAAGCAAAGGATAAAAAAATGCCGAATATTAGAAAAAGACCTTTCAGAAGCAAAACAAACGTTGATCATTTCACTGGAGTTGAAATCAAAGGAAATTTGGTATTAAAGAATATAAATAATATCTCCCTTGTGCATATATGGAAGCTGAATATCGGGTTTTGGGCAGCGTAAAGGCGAGATTTGTGCGAAATCCATTCAATATTTTACCTTTGCATTAAGCAGGGTAATTCACCCTTTTGTTTTGTTTTTTTGACCCATCCAATTTCGTTCTCGCTAGTTTTTATTTCTTGAAAGGGGAAAAAAAAACAAAATGTTTCAAAGACAGTTACTTAGTAGAGGCTTGCACAGGGTGGGCTATACTCCACCGACCAGTCTGCCGGTTCCGTGTGCGCAGCGGTGGGATCTGCGCCTCGCGGGAGCGAGAATTTTCAATGAATACATCGAGGAGGGTGCACCAGGTTCTTGGCAGTTGGAAGATGATCGGCATATGTCGCCAGAGTTTCACACCTTTACGGGGTATTCCATGCGGGAGATGAGGCCGGGTTATGGGCAAAACTTGCCGGAGTTTATCATGAAAAAGCGACTTCCCAATAACACCCATTACGAACTCTTTGCTCGACGGGATATTCCTAATGAAGACAATGCCATGTATGGTAAGCAGCTGTATGATATGACAGTGCACGGCACGTCCTTGCCATCAACCTACCGCATGCATAAGGATATCAACAAGGCCCAGCGCAATGATAGGAAGCTTTCCGGCAATCGATTCAAGGTTCTAAACTCTTGTGGGGCGAAGAAACCACCATCAGGCTTCACGCCAATTCCAGACACCGCGGAAGAGGATGATGGATAAGCTCGCATCACGCATTTCACTTTTCGCTATCCCTCCTCTACAATCGTCATGGATTCAGCATTCGAATGCATGTTTCATTTCTCTCCTGAATTCTTTCTCTCTGTAGGTTTGACGTGAGTTTGAAAGTATGCCGTTGCGATGGATTCCTTTTTAGAAGGCAGCGCATCAATCCCTTTTCATGATTTGTCCGCGTCATATCAAAGGCGTGTCCCTAGTATCACAAAAGTTGAATGCGTTTCTTTTCAACATTTTAACTTTTTTTTTCCCACTCCATTTCCTCCTCCCCCTTTCCCTAGAATAGCCTCATGTTTGCGCTAGAAGAAGCATGGAAAGGGGATTTCATATCCGACCTTCACCAGGAGCGCCGGACGCTGACGAAGAACTCCATCTCGCACTTCGTCAAGCGGGAGCTGACGCGGCGGGTGTCGTCGTCGTCGTCGTCCGAGCACGTTTTCCTCACGGACTGCCGCTGGGCCCCCTTCCCCAGCGCCCCGCCCTTCCTCCTCTGCGGCCTCAGCAACGGCTGGGTCTGCCTGCTCCACCCCTTCACCGCCGCCAAGACCTATCTTGTCCGGGAGTCCGAGAAGGACGGCACGCGGGAGGAGGGGAA